TTGTCTCGTTGATAAGAATATGTAATATTTATTAGTTGGGTGAGGATTGTCAGATCCCGTGCCTCGCATTCTTCATGAATAAATTGTACATGATCGATCTCTAATTTTCTTTCTTTTTATAAACGTCACCTTTCGATTTGATATATATGGTCCCAAGTGATGTCCAATGGAGATAAAAATATTATTATTATTCATCATAAATATTTCCCACCAAACAATAACAATTCTCAACTTGTTTTTAACTTTTTGATTTTCGTGCATATTTTTTTTTATTACTCTTGTTTTTTTTTTCTTCTTTTCTTTATTATCATATTAACTCATAGTTTTAATTATTTTTTACACTTAATATAGTTTTCAATTTGTCTTTTCACGTGAAGATCATATACTTTAATTTGTATCTAAAAATTTGATTACAAGTTAGTTACTTTTTATTAAAAAAAAATATTGAACCAACAGAAATTAGTTTGACTGACAATTAGTTTAGTATCCCTTAAATAAAATTTCAAATTCAAATTTTTTTATATGCAAAAAAACTCTAATAATAAATTTAACCACCACATCCCAGTGCCGCTGATCCAAATTAAATTGGATAAGGAATAAAAAATTAAATTTGATTCCTACGTTTAATAAAATAATATTATTTTTTATATTTTTATTTTATTTTTTAAATCTCTGCACATAATATACTAATTTATGTTTTAGTTCATGAATAAAAAATATTAGCACAATTATAACTTAAATAAATAACAAAACTAATTTGTACACTTTTATATAAAAATAAAAATCTATTTTTATTATAAAAACTAAAAAATAAGTCAAATAAAAAATAATGTAATAATTTAATTAAATTTTACAAATTGATTAATCAGTAATGTTTGACGATAACCTACTACTCATCAGAATAGATCAATTAAACCTCGATATTCTCAATCTTAGATTTAATTTACAAAAAATAATAAAATAAATATTAAATAATTATATAATGAATTACTATATTATAAATGAAATTATTTTATCTAAAAAGTAAACTATTCAACCAGACTATTAATTTTTATAATATATCATGTGTATTTTTTAAAATTAAAATTATCTAATGATAATGTTTGAATTACACTTACTTTTATTATAATGATTTTACTTTTTATCCACTATTTTATTAAATATGTTCTAAATTTTGAAGATAAAAATTGTCACTTAATTTTATTTTATTATTTTATATAAATTTTTAAAACTTTTTTAATATTTATGTTTATATTTATAAATTTTATTTTATTGACTTGTATAAACTTTTAAATTTTTTATAAATATTTTTATTTATATAAAATTCATAATACTTAATATATCATTTCTATTATTTTAACATTATTATAGTTTTATTAAATCTATATAATTTTGATGCATATTATTTGTAATTATATAATTAAGTTAAAATGTTTTTTAATTAATGTTTAAGAAAATGTATTATATATATATATTTAAAATAAATTATTTCTACATTCCACGAATTATTAAGTAGTTATCATATAATTATGGTAATTTTAAAGAGAATTAAAAGTGCTGAAGTAAATAACAAAGTGAAGGAGGGCTTAAACATTCCCTTGAACTTTAACTTACAGGAAATAGTCCGTCATCAATTTTTTTTTTTTAATTTACTACATAAAATATTAAGTATGATAGCTGAAATGTAAATGATATCCTTTCCTTCCAAATATTTCAAATCCTAACTCTTTAATTTTTAATATTTATTATCTATGCTTAAATTAATAATAATAATAATAATATATACATACAAAACATGTTCCCCAGCAACCATTTTGAAAAGATTGAAATTTGAAACCAAAGTTTAACCTTGAGCCATTGTCCATTGATGTTTATTGGTGGAGAAGTTGTTGACTCACATTATAATTTCATGTAAGCGGAATTTAACACTGTAAATTGTAGCGTCATAAAATACGCAGTTATGCTATATGTGTGATTAAGATTTTTATTAACACGAGTGAGATAAAGTTAAATTTCAAATGCACATTCATAGTGAGATCAACATTGTTGATTTAATCTACTAAATAAATGTCAAATGTTAAATTTTAATTCATCATATAAGTAGAGAGATTAAAAATAATAATACATGAATTAAAATAAAATATAAAGACTAAAAAAACATTTAAGTCAAATTTACATTATTAACTAATTATAAACTATATAAATATGACATGTAAAATAATTATTGTAAAAGTTAATAATCCTCAAAGATGCATTATTCATGATTGAATAATGATAATTTAAAAATATTTATATTATTAGTATATTTTAATTAATTTATATATATTTTCTTACAAAATCAATTGCTAATGGTTTATGTTTTTTTTCTTCCAAAACACATCAATCAATTTAATCTTGAGTACAAATGCATGAAATTCACACCAACTCTTTCTCGTTACATAAAATGATATATCAATATAATTTTGTGTAACAAAGCACTATACACTGTCGAGGAAGAAACTATAGAATGTGTAGTCCTACACAATTATTTTTGAAACAGCAAATTCTCACCAATTATTTTTGTCGTTTTCTTTGTCTTTGTCATCAATGACTTTATGGTTTATTTTTTTTTAATTTTTTTAATTTTTTCCCTCCTATACCCTTTCTAAAATTGATTATGATAGAGACTTTTGAGAGAAAAAAAAGAAGCGAAAACAAAAATGTACCTGCGTTTTAATATTTACATGCTCGTCTGTTATTATATTTCAATACTTAATTAGCGTAAAATGTCGCTTTTAATAATCTGTTATAATTTAAGTTTTATTATTTTAATTATTAAATCGTGTAATATATATAATGTATATATGTATAATTGTGTGTGTTTTAAAAGAACATGTTATAGATTAAAATAAAAGAATGTGATGAATTATTTATTAAATTTTATATTATGAAAAAAATATAATTTCATTCATAACATAGACTTTATTTTTTATAAAAAATTTAAAATGTTAGTAATTTATTTTTTTATACACTATTTATTATTATTTAACATTTATTAAAAAATACAAATTATGTATATCTCAATTTTAATTTAATGTGTACTAAAAAATACATAATAATAAATTAATAATTTTTTATTAAACATTATAGTATTTAATATTATTAATGCATTATATTACACAATATTTTATAATTTTTACTAAAATTTCATTGATTATAAATTTGCATTTATCGTGTATTTTGAAATAAGTGTTAATTTTTGTAATCAAATTGAACAAATTTTTGTACTGAAACGAGTGTGTACAAGTATAACTATATACTGCTGAAACAAAGTTTAGGGCATATTTTCTATTAAAATGAACTATATACATTCTCTTAAAAATATATATATATATATATATTCTCTTAAATACGTGTGTGTTTTGTTTTAATTAAAAATGATGATGATGAAACCAAAACAGTAACACAGCACATACAATGATAACCTCACGTCTTAATTAATTGCTGGTGGGGAGTTAAAGGAAGTGACTAACAATAACAATAATGATATAAACATTAACCACAGGGAGCATCATAAAATTACCGAGGAGAGTTAAAACAGAAGAAGAAGGAACGAAACAAAAAATCAGAGATGAAGTGAGGGAAGAGTGGGGTGAAGATGCACATGGGTAGAGGATCTACAACTCAGAATTAAGATATAAATCTACGCGAAAAATGCAATGAGATGCAGTTGGATACAATATCAAACGCCAAAACATACCAGAAAAGGAAAGTGTATATATGCAACGTTACAGAGTGGCAGAGGCAACCACATAGTGTAGTGGGTGTAATTAAAGTGAGGCTTGGATTGGGAGAGAGAGTCCCAGAAAGGGAAACCAAAAGAGTAGTTTGTCTGAGTGAATGATGATAGCGATCTATCAATTGAGGGCACAATTTGCATCATAGGACCAATGCCTCCTCACCCAAGTGCCAGTCTCACTCCCAGTCACCATCACCTTTCCCTATATATTTTTAATCTTCTATTATCACATATTATATCAAAATTATTTTCTTTTTATTTTGAAAAACTCAACTAGTGCCCATAATTTTCCAACCGTTCAAGAAATCCCATATATAGAAACTCTTATCTTTTAAAATAAATAAAGGTGGCCTCAAACCAACGTACCCTTCCGCTAGATTACTTTACTCCTTTTGGTCCTAATTCTTTATGCTATATCGACAGAGTTTGTCTTCAGCTTTGCGTAACCATTAAACCATGCTGTTATTTATTTTTCTTACATCCCCTCTCTATTGTCTTAAACTTTGTGCATCCTAGAGGTGAGGGGAGTTAGAGAGGGAGAGAGGAAGGGAAATGAATCTCTCTGGACGTTGCAGTGTCTCGTAGATCCGATGCAAAGTAAAAGTATTGTAGAGAGGGGGGGAGAGCTTTTAACCTACTGAGCAGTGAATAACATAGTCCCACTTTGTACTCCGTTCTGCAATTTAGGAGCTTTGTTTTCTTTCTTTCCTTTAGAATCAAGGTCCCTGGCATCAATTTTGGACCACTCTTGACTTCATCAAATACGATCATATACTTGCTTACTAATATGGCTTCTTTTAGAAGATGAGCTACAAAAACAAAGCAATTACTGTTTAATTGAGAATATCGCTTTCCTTATCATCACCAAAATGGCCAAATAATGTTTAATAACCTATTCATCAACATTGCTCATCCCCCTTTTTTTTTTCTTCTCCAATTATTCTGGTGGCAAAAATGTAGCATAAAATCTTCAACACGTTCCACAAAAAATAATAAAAAATTCAACGTGTTATTTCAATTCTATAAATGGCATTGCTTCGGGCCCACTTTTCCCAAAATATCTACGCGATGACGCTCGTGATGATGAAACCGCGCGCATGTTTCACATTTTTCTATTCATTTACCCAACCTGGGCATAAAAAAAATGGGTTTCCTGATTATTCTTACATTATACTAGGATTATAGCAACCAACGAGATAACAAAGTTTAGGATTTGATTCGTCAAATAAAAGGTGTTACGCTGCATATTTCTATTTAAATCGCAAGTAAACATTACATAATCTTTTAAAATAAAACCCATCCACTCGTTAAAGAAAGAACATTTTTTAACCAGCACTCATGTAAGATCCAAACAACGAAGCTTTAGCATAAAATACCGAGTCGCTGGTTCATTACCGATTCAGATGCTGTTCCCTCCAACACTCACAAGTGTGGAATCATTGAACCCAACCAATCCTCTAACCAATTACTACTCTCCTCTACTCTGCTCCCATAAAGGTACATCCCATAAATAAATGACCCAACTCCTGTTTCCCCTGTTAATTAACATAGTTAATAGCACGTACTTATTTTTCTTTCTCGTAAAAGTTAAAACTGACAAGGGCCTTAAACCCCCAAGCAAGCCAGCCCCTTCACCATTTATACCCTTTTGGTCGCTTCCTTCTCTCTCTCACAATGCATCAGTGTCCTTTTGAAGCTTTAGACGACCAATGATAGGTCCCTCTCGTCATTATAGCCTTTGTCTGACTGCTTTTGGCCAAGAGAACTGATTCAAAGGACACCGTTGATAGAGACTATTCATCGCCATCCGGTTATATTTCCGAGACACCAGAAAATAACCCACTTTGCATCTCTGTCTCTCCCTTATCTCGAGTAATTTCCCCCCCCCCCCCCTTCTTTTTTCCTCACCTCGCTTAAGCCTAGCTACTAGTACATATTAATATTTGCCCCAATGTTTTTTGTCAAGCTAAGCAATCCTGCATTTACCCTATTAAGGAACCAAAGCTAGCATCTTTCCTTGGCAAAGTTTTCAAGGCCAATCCCGATCCGAGCAGAAATAAGGAACAAATTGACAACCATGTGTATGCGATAGCAATACATCCCAAATTAAGAAACGAATAGGTGCTGTCATAAATATAATAGTGCAGAAATGCAGTAAATCATAGTTATATAACATCAGAAATTTTAGTCAGAGCCCAGAATATCTAGTATCTAGTTAAAGATTTCGTCCGTTTGTTAGTTTGACTGACCCAGACCAAGCAAAGACCAGTGAGTTCCCAATTTGGCTTTCCCTTTTCTTTTCTTTTATCCACTCTTTCACCTCAATAGTAAAGTTACGGTTTTGTATGGCTTTTCCTAAAAGAGAGGAGGTTGGACATAAAACAATAATCTAAACTGCATCCATTTGCAAATGCTCACAGAAGATAATAAGAAGAATTATTGGTAACAATATATTCTCAAGGGTCACGAAGGTCTCATGAGAGTGTGGAACCCATTTTTCTGCAGCCAACCTTGCGAGGGTCTAATCTGCGGTGGGAATCCTGATGATGCTGCAGCAGTTGCTAACAAATGTGGAGGCCCCGGTTGCCATTGTTGCTCCGACATTGACAATGAAAGATCACTTCCAATACGGCCTCCGTTGCTGCTGCTGGAAACCTGCATATTCGGAAAATCGAAACAATTAATAATTAACCTCCATCGATCCACCTGGATACTAATAAATGGGTGCTTCCCTATTCCTCTCTAGTTCATTTATATTCAATGCATGATAAATTGAGGAGGTACCCACATGAAAATTTGGTGGGTGAAGATTTACAAAATTCTGAGGCATTTGAGGAGGCTCTGCTGGCGACCTATACGGACCATATCTATGCATTTCATTAGTGGGTGGAGAATGAAGGCGAGTTTGGCTAAGCAACCGCAAGGCTTCACTTTCCCCCTGACCATCTCTTGCATATGCTTCCATGTTGCTTCTACCACATGGTTTCGGTAGTATGTTCACCAGCTGAATCAAATAGCCAAAAGGGTGATTCAGGTAAAATAAACAAAACAAGTTAATGAGATAATAAATAACGAATTTTAATTTTATGTAATATTACATGAACCTTAGGCTTGCTTCCCCCATTCCGCCAATTAGATTCGAGTGCCATATGCTGATCGGTTGAAGAATTTGGGGGTTGATTTCCCAATGCTTGACTACTGCTATGCTTAGAGCTCGAATTGCCCAAACTCAAATCCAGATTGTGATCTGCAGCTACACCTGAGGATTCTGCCACCCAATAATACATTTAACTAATTATGTCTGGTGAATGTGAATAATAAAATATAAAAATTTTGATAATGGAACATGAGCAGTGAGCGCATAAAACTTTTAATTTCTTAATTACCCGAGTTAAGCTCCTTGTCGTATATGCTGGGATCAAAATTGGTGACGGCCTCTTTGCCGTTGCATTTTATTGCTGCTTTGTCATATGCCCTATACAAAGAAAAGTGCCAAAAATTTCAAAACCCTAGCATGCGGGATACTTTCTACAAGGTGGGGAATCTTGAAATTGAAAGGGGTAAATATCAGCCTACCTGGCAGCTTCAATCTCGGTGTCAAACAGACCCAGATAAACGTATCTGGTGAATCAAATGAAATTAACACTATTAATTTTGTTACGGCACAGGCACGAACAAGCATTCACACGAACAACATGATGTATGTATATAAATAGTATAAGATGAAGTCCTACTTTTTGCCTAAAAATTGGCCCATCCGAGCCTCCCATCTTCCACACTTGTGCAAAGTTACACCTCTATATTTGGAGCTTCCCCTAGGAAATCCAGTGCTTTGTCGGCGAAGTACGTGCACAAACTCTTCCTTGGTTAGATTGCTCATCTTTTAACACAAAATAAATTAGCCAAATCACGATAACAATTGAAGATAGAAAAGTTAATTAAGAACCGTAGGAGATAAGATAAGGGTATCACAGAACTATTGGAGATAAGATAAATGCCTTTCTACAGAATCTCCCTCTCTCTCATGACTCACCTGCTTCAAATCATCTTCATAGTCTTCTATATTGAAATTGATGTCTGCCTCCACTCCTCGGAACTTAATTGCGGCTCTATCATATGCACTGGGGAAGGGGAATACATACATATTATTGATATTAATTAGAAGCATATAAAAGAAATATTAGCAGGATTGGATATAGAAAAGTTATATTACAAGCTGTGTAAAGAAGAGGTAGGAAGGGAGCAAGTGCTCACCGAGCAGCTGCATGTGCTGTGTCAAATCCACCTACACAAATTTACCCAGACAAAACCATCTCGTCAGTCATCCCTAAAAACTTCCCACAATACTCACTTGTCTGCTCCCAAATCGTATTCACAACAAAATTTATTATTAAATAAATTAAAAATATATAAGTCTAGTACTACCACATATGCAATCGTTTTAGTCGTAACACTTACCCAGATACACTTGTTTTCCACAATCCCTGCAGCATCAAGGACAAACACAACCAAAATTTTTAAGTGTCGAGAAATTATAAAATAGAATAAAATTATGGAATGGAAAGCATAAAGCACTAACCATATATGAGACTCCCATCGACCTGTTCTTCTGTAAAAGGTAACTCCCCTATACTGTGAGCTCCGTGACCTTGGTCCTCGCCGACTCTTCTTCATAGGCTGCGACACTTCCACGGATTTTCCGGCGCCGAGAGTTTCTGATTGACAAAATTTGACGCCTACCCAGTGAGCGCGAGGGAAGGAATTCGAGGTTCCTCCGCCGCCGGAGGGGAGAGCCACATCGGAATCTTCCACCGGAAAAAACTGGCGGGTCACGGTCACGGGTGGGCGGTCACTGTCATGATGGGTCACTGAGAACCCGAATATCTTGCTACTCTTTTTCTTGAACGTTCTGCTTCCACCCCTGTCACCGTCTTCTTCTTCCGATCCATCCTCGATGACCACTGCAGAGGAGCTTGAATTGGAAACAGATCCAACCCTCTTGCCTTTATCATCATCTCCTTCCTTTAGAGAAGAACACCCTTCTGATTCGTAGTCCTTTCTCTGATCGGGGGAGTCATTCAGATCCCACATTCTTCACTTCCTTTGCTTAACAAGACCCAGATGTTTTTCCCTTCCCTTCTCACTCAGATAGCTGCAGAGCTAGTTGGTCTTTGTACACACACATTAACCAGCAAAAAAGAGAGAGGCAAGTATACAACCCAGATTTCTGATTCAGTGATTCCCACTCTGGTGTAAAAGAAAAATGAAAAATTGTTAACTGAGAGTGTGTGTGTTGGGCTCTGTCTTGTTCCCCGTTCTGCTAGCCTTTCTCTCTTCTCTCTCTTGTTTGAGAATAATAAAATAATGGTGGAAGGAGGTGGAGTATTGTGAAACTGAGAGAAGAAAGAAAAATCAAACCTACGACGAGTGTGAGAGAGAAAGAGGGTAGGTGTTGCAAAAAGGTAATAAAGTAGGAGATGTTCAAAGATCTTTGTATTCCCTTAACTGCCCAATACAGCATAGACGAGGCCAGTTTCAGCAAGCTTAGCCGAAAGCATCAAACCTTCTCCTAAGCACCAATCTCCTCTCCACTCTCTCACAACTTGTTTCTCTCACTGAAAAAACTAATATTATAATTTCTATGTATCTATTTTTGTTTTGCTTCTCGCGGGGGAAAGTCCTTATATATAGTAGTTTTTTTAGATGAGTGTACTGTTACTTATTTCCATTTTGATATGATTATTGAATGAATTAAAATGCAAGTGGTAAAAATAGGGAAAGAAAGAACCATCTCTTTCTTAAACGACTTTCCCACGTTAACCAAATCGAAAAAGCATCTTGGGCTGTCCTTCTCCCTGGCTCCAAATTACGCAGTAATGGAAATAGACAGCGCAAGGAGTCCAAAAGAAAGATAATTACTCAAAATTACCTTTTGTTAGCTTCTAATCGTTAATGATTCCCGTCATAACTTAGGAGCCACCTCAATCCACGCCTCCAACGAGTTTTATCTTTTTAGGATTATGACTAAGTTTTACCATGTGGGATGCCACAGGGGGTCAAAAGAGGAAAGTAATTAGGGGGGGTGATGAGGGGTATTTTGGGAAGAAGGTGGAATATTTATTATTGTGACTCGAGACCACGGCAGTGTTTGAGCGAGCGAGCGAGCGAGCGACAGAGAGAGAGAGAGAGAGAGAGAGGGGGACTGTGTTTGGCATCAGAAAAAGGAAATGAGAATAATAGAAGTAAAAGGAAACTCTTTCCAGAAAAGTCCAATCCAAGAGTACGGGAAGAGGGCCACCTTTGCCTCTTTCGTTCGCCAAGCGACCAATGCCCTTCCTACGCTGTACCTCGTATTTATGACTCCCTTCTACTACGTCACTCTCCTCAAACTGCGCGTGCTTCCCAACACCATTTCTATACCCCCTTCTCTCCCCCATTGTTATTTTTTATATTCTTAATCTCTGTTTAAAGGAGCGTAATCAGAATTATACATTGTGATGTGTTGCATTTCAACGAGCCACGTTGTTGGAAACCCCAATGCTAATATACTGTTCTGTGATTCTTTTTATGGCTCAATTTGAGCCAAACAGTTATATGAATTTTGTCAAGAACCAAACAAAATGTTCCTATTAGGCTTTGCTTGTGCTTTATTGATACATTTAATAAGTTACAATTCATGGCTTTAAATTTGTAAGGAATGCACTTAGAATCAGCAAAAATCGATCGACATTCTATTTTAGATACTCAATAAATCAATCGCGCATAAAATTGTAAAAAGAACAAGTCAGATGGCAGCCCCACACTACTCATTGTAAGTGTGGATAGCGAGGTGCAACCCTTATAACGAGCTAATATGTTATTGCTAATTTTATCCAAACAAATACAATTTTTTAAACATAAAAGATGATATTTAGATTTAATGATCGAATTTTGGTCTAATTTATTACGTAAGAGCTCATAAACACAATATCTTTGCTGTTACACTGTAATTAAAAAAATTTGTTAATCTTACTTTCAAAGACAAGTTTAAACGACCAGGTACTAAACTATTGTTGAAAAAAATCTTTATTATGCCAAAAATTTAATAAATAATATTTCTTTATTAAAATTTCACTATCATTATATGCTTTATCCCACGCCTAAAACGTGGTTAGTATTTGCATTAAAAAATAATTAATTTTTTCCAATATGTATCAAATGGCTCATAATAAAAAAAATTATAAATAAAAAACTTCATTACAAATTATATCGTCTAATGTTATAATGTTTTACGGTTTTTAATAAACTTTTATTTTATTTTATTTGATAAAACTAGTTAGAAATTATAACTTCCAAGTATAAGCTAGCAAGTTATTTGGAAATTTATGATCAGCTCAATAGATTATAGCTGTTTGGTTAAACTGGTTTTGTTAAATGATACAAATTTATTCAACATATTAATGAGGGAAATTAAGACATTAAAATTTAACTTTAATGAACAAAAATTTACTTAAAATAATTGCTAAATTGACAATATATAATTTTTGATAGACCCATTAAGAAGGTCCAAAAATAATATACGTACACGTGGGTCGTGGGTACACTCTATGATTGTATCCATTCGTAATAGGTATGTTTTGCACGACATCCGATTATGGCGCAACCTCCCCGTGACTTGCAACGCGAAATTGTCATCGTCTGTTAAACGGGCTTACACAAGATCAAATAGATTAAATTTAATCTTTTGAAATTAATTCAAATTAAATTATCAGATTTTTTAAATAATCGCATGAGAGGTAATTATGCTGCATAATTGCATCATATCATTTAAAATTTTTTAATAGTAATAATTTATTATTCGTTACTGAAACTGAGACTTACAAATGATGTTACCGTCTGTCATCTAAAAAATAAAAAGTAGCTACAGCGTTCTTTTTATGAGAAAAACGTAAAAATTGAACTGGGAACTAATTTAAAACAAAAAAAACATGTGATTGCTTATATGATCTAAATATAAAGTTCATATTTTGAATCGATTTTAATTTGACTTAAGCTATGATTAAATTATGAACCACAGTTTTCCATTCAAAGAGAACACAGCATCTTTTGTACAGTTACTGCTATAAAATACGTCGGTGGTTGGAACGATGTTATATGCGAAGATAAGACACGCAGCACGTCTGTCTTTTTGACAGAGAAAAAAAAGAAAAAACAAAAGTGTAGGCGTGCGTTTTAGCGTAGGTTGGTGAGCGTGGGTCTACGTATGTCTGACAATGGCAATGCCAACTCAAAAACCATAGGATAGATTGATGGATAGATTTGTAGTTACCACACACATTCATATATATATATATATATATATATATATATATATAAAAATTAATTGGTGGAAGATTATAATATAACTTTATATTAGAGATGCCATCACCGTTGACATCATCATCATTTATTAAGAAATTAATATAATATATTATCAAATAAAAATGTTGCAATTCAATCTATACAGACTTGCATTATCTAATAAAACCTGCTTAATTTTAATACATTTCTTTGCATTTGATACATCTTAATTGATGTAACATCGCGTTTGTACCCCAAAAAAATTAATAATCCTGCACCAGTAGTAAAAAACAGTTTTGCAATTTTTTATTTACAACATAATTTTGATAGGTTAGAACCTTCTTAATTTACGAAAAAATTGACAAATTGAAAGATATAAGGGACTAAAAGTAAACGGCTAGAAGATTAAAATAAAAAAATCGGATTAACGTTAAAAAGTATTATCATAATGTTGTTATACCTTTTTTTTCTCATTTTGTTTTCATCTAACAGTTTTATTTGTTATTATAATACTCGTGATTTTTTATTTTATTACTTGTCACTTTCTCATGTCTAAATTACACGTCTCGAATGAATGACAAAATATTATTATTCTAGCTATTAATAAGTTATTTTTCAAAAAACAATTACCTAATAACGAGGGAACAGGTGATTAGATAATTTTTTAACAACTTTTTGCCAAATTTATTATCTCAATTTCTTGAAATCTTTTCTTAAATTATTCTTCTAATTTTACAGAAAAACGCATGAAAGGTTTTTTTTTTTTTATTTGTTCTTTTTTTCTTGTTAGCACCGGTTGCATCATTGTGTATATTCTCAGGGAAAATATCATTTTCGAAAGAATTTGATTGAAAACACCAACAGTCCTTTGTAGAAACCAGTAATTCAAAGTTACGCCAAACATAGTATAGCACGTTAAAGAGTGGCATATTTTTTAAGTTTCAATTTAAATTTCAAGTTTGTTTCTGTTTTTTTTTCTTTCGTGTACATGTTTTTATAAACAATAATCACAAAAAATAAAGTAAAAATACACTTTTTTCACATTTGGGCAAAGGAATTATTCCATAACAATAGATTGGACGTAAGAAAAAGGAACGAGTTATTAATACTATTGTTTTTTCAAATAGAAATAAGACAACTCAAATAAATATATGTTCTAAAAAAATAATATTATTGTTTTTAATTTTTGTTGATAAAACACAAATAAATATTAAAAAAGATATACCATTGTTTTTAAACTAAATATAATTAATATCCCTAGTTTTTGCAATAACTATACATACATACATTTTTTTTACCGTGTCAAATAATACCGAATACAAAATTATATACAGTAAACTTTTTTATTGGAAATTATAGTAGATTGTAAAATTTAATTTGCTGATAACATAAAATACTAGTTTTTAATTAAAAATATCATGTGCGATTCACATATATATATATATATATATATATATATATATATATATATATAGAAAAATCACTAAAAAATTAAGTAAAAAAAAAGTATTTCTCTTGATATATTTGGACCGAGAGAAGTTGATTTGAGAAAAACTTCATGTGCGATTCACATTTGGATGGGAAAAGTAGGAGAAAAAGAAAACGTGATAGGAAACGTCACTAACTTATCCTTGGTTAGTTGTTTTGTTTGGGACCCGACTTGATAACAGTAGTTAAATCATCACACCACAACAAATGTTGATTAATCTGTGTTGTTAAGTCAACTGTAGGAATTGAAGAAATGAATTATCTTAAAGTTGAAAATCGTTTTCCTTTAGCTTCACATCGCGGACCAGAGTCCAGAGAGTGTTGGCGAATAGTAAAACTTGTGAATATGAAAGTTGTAAGCTTTTATGAACCATTTGGCAAGCGTGGCAGATGTCGATTGATGCAATAAACGCTGCGAATGGAATGAACTCGCTTAGCTTTTCTAGTTAAATTTAAACGACAACTAATTAACACTTAACACCGAGGTTATCGTAGAACGTTCATGCTGATCTTCCGTCGTCGATTCAAGTAGCATCAACTGTACTAACCCTAACTCTCGAAATCTTAGAGTAGGAGAAGCTGCTTCAGTTCTTATAACTCAGTATCACTGACAAGATGCATGTTGATCTTCGTGGCTGCTACTGTTCATATGCTGCGTGTCGTATGTTTAAGGATACGATTTACAAAAAACGCGTTTTCCTTTGTCTCCATTATTTTCTTTTCAAATATAGAAAAAATATATATATCAACCTAAGATTTTTACCCTTGGTTTATTTTCTTTCACCCAAAACAAAGGCTCTTTATTTAAGTTTAAAACAAAATCTGATACAAGACATTTTTAAATTAATAAAAA